TAGAAAAACAACGGGAGCACTGCATTTCTTAAAAAATAGAGCCAATTCATTATTTTCGTTTTCAGATTTGGATTTTACGGAAAAAATCTATCAGAATCAGTTGCTATTGGCCCGACAAAAAATCCGTGTTCCCCAGTGTTATATAAGTATTCTTATAAAATCTTATAAGATCTTATTTTTGCATTTTATGAACTGATGGGTGATTTAATTTACTTCTCTTGTCGTTGAAGTTCTGACTGTCATTTCCATTTCGATTATATTATAAACTATGACATTAAGTATAGGGATAGGTTACGAGCCTTCGCACAAAACTTTCGTCTGGTAATGTAACGTAACATAACGTGAGTCAATGCACAAGAAACGTACAACGCCGTAATTGATGCATTTCTTGTGCGTTGATCCATGTTATGTTACGCTACGTTACAATACGAGAGTCTTGTGCGGAGGCTCTAAGTTTTATTTGAATTTTCTCGCAGATTATACTACTACTTTTAGACCACCAAATTTTGAAATTATTTCTCGTTGGAGAGTGTGAGATTATTTTGATTCAGTTGTCATCGCTGAAGATCTGACTATATTCAAAACGAAATGTCCGATGTATAATTATATAGTTATTATAACGTTAACTTACGTTAACGTACGCTTTGTCAACCGCATTGTACTGTCAAAGCCTTCTTTTACTTGTTACTTTTTAATATATTTATATTTTTTATATAGCTTATAATATGCCCCATCGAATTGGTAAAGTCAACAATATCGAGAAATTCGATTCAGAATTTTTCAATATATCCGCAACAGAAGCTTATATAATGGATCCTATGATTAGAATGTTACTCGAGCATACTTACGAAGCAATTATCGATGCGGGCGTAAACCCGAAAGAATTACAGGGAACAAGAACGAATGTTTTTACAGCAATTTCTGCGTTTGAGACTCAAGGGCATTTTTCCTGTACATCTCAGGTATGATATATTTAATTAATATATAAAACACATAATCAAAAGAAATTTATTTAAAGAAATTATAACTGTGTAAAATTCTTGTTTTAAATATAAAAATCTGTTTCCTTACTGTATAAGAAATAAGAAGTATAGATAAATTATGTACAATAAATTTTTAAGCAGTTTTAAAAATAAAAATTTAACTTATTTTATTTGTACATTTTAATATTTTAAATATATTTAGAAATATATGTATTGTGATTAGTTTGCTGGATTACCTATGACTGCATGCAACGTTTCTCTCATGGCAAACCAAATTTCTTACTGGCTCGGCGTTATTGGAAAGTCGCATAATATTGATACTGCATGTAGTTCAAGTAACGTTGCTATAGTGAAAGCTTACGAGCTGATTCAGTCCGGAGAGTGCGACGCGGCCATTATCGCTTCCGCCAATCTATGTCTCAATCCTTATGTACAATTTCAATTTTACCATCTAGGTATGTATTTATTTTATTATATCTTGTTATAGTGTATATTATAGGTATATTGTATGGATCATAAACATTTTTTGATATGTTTATTTATAACTTATTTATTTTCATCTTTACGCAAATTTCAGATTTTAAATAATCATTGATTCAGATAATCATTGATTATATGTCGTTCTTGTTATATTAATACGATATATCTGAGTAGGTAATTTCCACGTCAAATCGGACGAGAATAATCTCGTATTTTAAATTGATCAAAATCAACAGACTCTTGTTGTGTGTGAATTATATTAAGATTATGTTACTATTTTACGTTTTTGTTTATCCAATAACGTGCCCTGCGAAACAATCGCACTCTTTGTCTATAATGTTCAATAAGCCCATGCTTCCTTTTTATTTTTACATTTAGATATTAAATCGAAGCTTGAAAAACTTTATTTAACAACATGAATTAATTTCCTTCTAGGGGTTCTATCTTCTGATGGTTATTGTAAACCCTTTGACGAGGAAGGCACCGGATATATGCGTAGCGATACGGCCGCAGTAGTATATCTGCAAAAGGCAAAAAATGCAAGAAGAATATATGCAACCCTCGTACACGGTAAAGTAAATAGCGATGGTT